AGACAGGGTTTCATCATGTTGGCCAGGCTGGTCTCAAACTCCTGACCTCAGGTCATCCGTCCGCCTTGGCCTCCCAAAGTGCTGGGATTACAGGCATGAGCCACTGCACCTGGCTGAGTTTAAGTCTTTTTAACAACTTTATTGAGATATAATTTACATACCATAAATTCACTCATTTTAGGTACACAGTTGAATGATTTTTAGTAAATTTACAGAATTGTGCAGCCATCTTTGCAATCAAATTTCAGAACATTTTCATCATCCCAGAAGGAAGCCTCATGTCCATTTTTAGTCAGTCCCCTCTTCCCTCCTCTCAGTTATCCCCATCAGCTTCAGATAACTATTAATCTCCTTTCTTTCTCTCTAAATTTGACTTTTCTGAACAATCCATATAAACAAAATTACACAATATGTGAACTTTTGTGGCTTGCCTCTTTCACTAAGGGTAACATTTGTGAGGCTGATTCATATTGTAGCGTGTATCAGTACTTTGTTCCTTTGCATTGTCAAATAGACATGTAAACAAAGTCTTAAGTAACTAGGATTTCTATCATGCTGGATAATAGAGCTGATTATTAATTTTGATATACATTTATATCTAGAAGAATATAATCATAAGCTGATTATATTTCCCTCCACGTGAAAGATAGTAAAGCTCAGTGAATTTCTAGTGTCATTAGACTCCTTTCTATAGTTCTTGATTAATAATTTGACAATACATCGCCTTAGAATTATTAGAATAAGGCTGTACAGTGTATGTAATTTTTGCTACAGTGTTCAAAGACCTTTTCACTGATAACAGTGAAGTTAAATTTGTTAGCTTGCTAAGATCACCATGATTTAAGATATGGTGGGAACTGAGAATTTAATTCCAACTTACATTATACTACTTGTGGGAAAAAGCTGGGCTGCATATTTTACATTCCTTGTTTTATTTAATGTAATTTGTAAAACAGTGTTTGAGGATAAGTGTGTTAAGCAATAAGAGGCTATGCAAGACTGCTTAGCCTGGGTCTCCAGGAAAACTTAAATTCAAGAGATCTTTTACTAATAACACAACCGTGATAAAGTTTTTACTGAATTGATTTACCAATTATAAAATTCGTGATGTGAAAAATCATAATGCTCCTTGACATTTCAAGAGCATTGCAAAACATTTCAATAGCAAAACAAGATGGTGATCCCAGAAGACCAGGTTGGGTAAGGCCTCAGAGAAAGAATAGGTGAAGAGAAAAGCCATAAGGGAGCACTGAAGCACAAAACTTCAGACAAACAAATGTGGAATTCTAGTGGAAAATAGCTGGAGACAAGCCCAATTGTTGTGAAGCTTTCCAAACTGAAGGGGACAGACTTTAATACAAAGAAAACGAATCACAACCAGCCATGACCTGAGAGCTGGCTGCTGTGCTATGTTGCAGTCCCATCAGGGTCCTTCTTCACTTGTGGCAAGGGCCAGCATGTGATGTTACCTTGAAATACAGAGTGCAGGCGGGGGTGGGAATGATACATATGGTAAGTATTCTGCTTGTGGGTGATACACTCCCTACTGTCGAGAAGATCTTTTCTCTGCAGTTGAGTAGACCCTATCTGTTTTGCTTCTATCTGTGAATGGAGAAGTGTCTACCTATGAGCTATGGCAGCACCTCTGCAAATGCTCATTGAATAATGCACACTGTAGACACTTCTGACTGCGTATGTATAAGCCATGAAATCAAGAAGAATCTAGAATGCCTGATAATGATATTCTTCAAAAAAAACCGTTATTTTCTCATGTTTGTTGATAAGTAGACATGGGATGTATTAGTTACCTCAGTTTCCTGTATACAAATTTTTACCCTGTGTACATATTAATTTATAGTCTGTAACTTTGTGCTTTGTAATTTTAATTTTCTTTTAGGTATTTTAAGAGCTCAGTAATATACTTTACATTTTAAGGTTTAACACAAAGACAACTTGTAGGATATTCTATGATAAAACCAATCAAAGCAGGAGTTTTTCTGACAACGATTTTAACAAATGAAACAACTGCAGCTTAGACCAGGAAATTCCAGGAATGTTAGATTTGAATTCTTGTCAAGGTTTCATTGATTACTTACTTTTGTATACATTTTGCTTTATATTTCAAGAGTAAAAAAGCCATAAAGAATATCCTGCAAAAGTGCACCTACCTACCAGCCCTCGAACCATTTCTGTATGATGCTCCTCCCAATATCCTGAAGCATGTGGTTGGACAGTTTAGTAAGGTAAGAAATGGCAGCCTCTAAGGGGTGGAAGAAAATTAAAATAATTTGTTAACTTTTTTTGTTTTTCTGTTGGGCCAGTAGTTTTTTCTGTAAGACAGGGTCATTATTTTACTGCTTAACTCTCACCAATCTGTATGGACAGAGAAGTTACCTTAATAAAATTCACACATAAATAAAACACTTTCTTCATCCTCACATTTTTGTCAGAGCCTCTACTGTCTTTTTTAGTGTTCTCAGGAAATAAAAATCTCATAAGTAGATAATTTATATTGATAAGTGACTTTTAGTAATCTTCCTAGTGTCCATCTCACTCATCTGGAAATACTGCAAAGATCATAAAGAGAAAAGGAAAAAGGTTTCTGAGCCACTGAAATATCTTTCACAAAATCCATGTACTTTACTGGCGATGTTCTCAGTCATTTGGAGCACATTGACTTATTTTATGAACAATTTTAACAAATATAGCTGTCATATTCTGAGATTGTTGCAGATTAAATGATAGTATATGGTAGTAAGGTAGAAAGTTCAAGCTGCTAGAGGTGGGCATAGCCAGCAGAGCTGATTACCAATAGCAAAGGATGAAAGAGAATGACTCTATCGCTACAGACATTGATGGTGAGGATGGTGACCCTAAGCTATCAAGAGCTGGCTAAATCATGCTCAGTGAATTTGACTTAGGAAAATGGGGTCTGTGCGAGTAGTAGCCCATGGTGATCATGAGCTGACGTTCTGAATTGGAGTACCTGGAGTTCCCACTTACCAGCTCTATAATTTTTTTTTTTTTTTTTTGGAGG